TTGTGTTAAAGTTACTGACCAACTCTCCATGCCTCTGTTTTGGTTTAGAAATTCTGAGAAGAAGTGATCGACTGATGGTAAATGGATATTATGGATCTGACGGAAAACCAACAATCTCATATAAAGAGTCCAGGATCAGGTAAACTAAATCAACAGAAGTATTAAATTCAAGACATGGCAAAAATATTTCTTCCCCTTTGAACTTTCTACTTCTTTTCATGTAACAACCACAAACATCTGTGTAATGTTTAGCAATTTAGCAAAAAAGAAAGAAATTTGTATTTTTTTGCCAAACAAATTTCTGTAGCAGTACATTTTTCAGCCCTCAAATTCTGATGCCTCTAAATTATGATTGTGATGTATGTTCCATTCTGACATCACAACTTCCTTCCAATGTCGCTTAGTTACGAATCAGAGTTAGGAATAGACACAGTAGAGAAATTCAAGTGTTCAGTGTCTATAAAAAGTATTTATCCCCTTGAATGTTGAAATAAATAATATATTACAAAATTTGGCTTGTGTGACAAAATAAAAAAATTACAAAAAAAACCTTTAATGTTGGCTGGACCTTCTTTGAATTAGGTCAGTCACTTTTAAAGGGCATGAATATTTATGCAGCCATTTATTTTAGGTCAAATATTTTTTGATTATTATTTTTAAATAGGTTAGTTTTCACATTGACATTATAAGATCTTTAGTATATTTTTTATGACAAAAATGCCCAATTTTGATGAAAAAGCTGTAAAATGATAAAACATACAGGGGGAGTGAGTATTTTTTATATGCACTTTACAGCAAGCAGTAAATTATAGGAAAAAGGACCTGAATGACCTTAGTTTGAAAGCAAATCCAAACTAACTTAAAAATATATGATGGGAAAAATAAAAACGAGGCTGTGCAGGAAGGGTTAATTTACAGCATAGGAAAACAATACCGTACATAAATTAAAATTGCAAACTCAGATCAAAAGAGATGTGGAACTAAGTATGGCTGTTCAACATTTTTTACAAAGTTTGTGTTTGCAATGTGATTACGTTGAATAATAACCCAAGTCTCCCTGGAATAATAGATTCTTATTCTCAGTGGTGACTTCCTGGGTAAGTAATGAGTAATTAAAATCAAGATATGAAAAAGTTCAAGGGAAGTAAATACTTTTGCAAAAAAACCCTGCAAATTTAACTCAATAATGTTAGGATCTATGTATCAGTTTACATATTTGTGTTTGTTCTACCTTGGCTGAACAGGAAGTGGACATACCGTCGGTATTACCTCACAGGAAGAAGAGAGACCTCATCAACAAACAACAGCAACAGCAGCATCGACAGGGACCTGTTGATGTACACGCTGAAACGTTTTCTTATCAGCGCCATATTCCTCGCCTTGTTTTATGGTAAATGATTTTCTTCTACAAACACCAATATTTCTAAGTTTTGTAGAGAGTTTTTAGTCTGAAAGCAGTGTCACTAATCCTGTCACCTTCTTCTCATTTCTCCACATTTGTCAGGATTTACCACCATTATTGCTCCTTTGACGATGAAACCTCCGGTTTTTTCGCCCTCCATCATAAACGCAGTAAGCTTTCTGTTAATCAAAACCCTTATATGAATGTCCTCTGCAGTGATATGACAAAACATCTAACTTCAATTGTGTTTAGGATTTAGGTCCAGTATGTAAAGATAAGCGAGGACAATTAGAGGAAGAGAAGGAGGGGATGGGTGTCCTACAGAAGAAGGTGGGCTACCTTCTTCCACCAGCAGATATGATGCCCAACTTTGCTTTGAAATCTCAAGGTAAGTCATTACTATCTTAAATTTCACTGAATGTTTTAAGCTTAGATGGTTTTAATTCACTTTCTGTGTGTGTTTGTAAACAGGAGCAAAGCTCGTATCCTGGATGCCATCAGGCACACATCCTGGCCAAATCCAAAGATGCAATAGGTTTGGGTTTACAATAGAACGGCCATCTATCCACCCGGACATTGTCATTGAGGTATGAACTGAACTATGATCATAATGTAATATGAATATGATGCAGAATGGTATTTCTATGTGATGTAATAATTAGAAGGCTTTTTGTTTATTATTTTAACATCCCACTGAAACTTTGAACTCTTTTTCTCTTCAGGGGAGGACTCGCCTACAACCAGGAGAGTGCTGGGCATTTGAAGGTTCCCAGGGACATCTCGTCATCGCCCTGCCCTACAGAGTTGTAATCGGTCACGTTACTTTGGGTCATCCGCCAAAAATGTTGTCCCCAACTGGTAACATCGACAGTGCTCCCAAGGAGTTTTCTATCTATGTAAGCCACAAGTCTCTGAATATTAGACAGCAACACTCAGTCTAACTTTCAGATATATTTATAAGGATATTTGTCTAATTTTGTTTTGCAGGGAATGAGGGAGCCCAAACAGGAGTGGACTCACCTGGGGACTTTTCACTATGAAGAGGATGGAGAGCCGCTTCAGACTTTTGAGCTACCGGTACGTTTATCCCAGTTGTTTTTTTGTTCTAGCTACTTTGCATAATTGCTTTGCAACATATTTATAGCCATTGAACTTTTCAATGTATTCATGTTAAAAATATAACATGAATGAGATCTAAAGTTGAAAGTTGATCTAAACCTTCCCATTATATTGCTGGCTCTGTGTTTAGGGCGGAAGGTAAACCTCTGACCCAGTTTTTAAAGTGTAACTTCCCCCTTCAGCCCTGGC